ACCAATAGTTGTGTCTTGGATAAGATGGCCACATGCAAATTTTTAAGGTCCTATAGGTATTATACAACAAACTAGGTACTGTACAACAAACTAGGTACTATACAACAAACTTGGAGGTTGAACAGATGCACTAGACACATTTTTATGCCTATTGGATATTCCATGAGACTATTATCCTGAGCCTTCAAACCAAGGAACTAAACCCTTTATAGTAGTTTAAGTATCAACAGCCTTAAGAGCTACTCTTTTTGGGTCATTGTTGTAAAAATATATACCACAGAACTTTTGCCAATTTGAATTTTCTTGATTGCTAACTTTTATAGTTTATTTCCATTGATTTTTTTTCCCCATCAGATTTACTTTCTCTTTGGTGTTTCCATTATATCCTAATTTTTTGATTGACTTTTAAAAAATTGTCATATTTTTAAGCTCTTTCTTGGTCTCTGGTTGTCTCTTTGAAGTATCCTGTTCTAATTTTATTTTCCCAGTATTTTTATCTCTGATTATTTGTTAGTTTCTGCCTTTCCAAGCATACATAGCCTTTGTGCCCTCTTGATCCTTTTGCTGTTGGGTTATTTTGTTTGTTTGTTTTCTGTTTATTTTGGACTCTTTCATGTTGAAAGAGTTTATCTTATGTACAGTGATGCTGGACTGTCTATTTAAGAATTAGGCGTGAAAGTGTTGATTGGAGGCTGTGTATTGGCAGGGGTTCTTCTCTGTAGGGCTGGCCTTTTTTATTGGAGGTACCCCTATGTAATCTAATATCGGAACCTGTCTAGATTCCTGAGGGATAAGAATCAGGATCAGCACAAAGCTTTTTCTTTGAGATGCAGGTCAGATATACCTCCGCACCCTTAACTTTCTCACCATTTCTGACACTAGCTGTTCCCCCATGATAGTCTACTTCTCTGTTGGACTTGATAATTTGTTCCAATAGTCACACAGAACTGACATAATTAAGTGATTTGTTAAGTAAATAACAGGTTACAATTCAGAATTTGGATCAATTTGAAGTAATAGGCTATAACTCGGATTCAGGATCAGAAGCA